ATTTTGGGACCATAACAATATAATATATCTACAGTAAATGTTTGCATAGGGCATCATCCAAGAAACATGAAAAATCGACAAGACCTTGATGGGCTCTTATTAAATGTTAAAAACATTTGAGATGCAGAAAACAGACAGGGCTTAATATATTAATTTTGCTTACTTGTGAAGTTCTAATAATGCAAAGCCATTTTATAATTACATTTCCAAGAGTTGGAAACTTATACCACTATTTGTCTGGCTATGTTTAAAATCTGCATTTTTTTACAGTAGACTACCTCAGTAAGCTTTAATTTTCATTCTTTTTACAATTTATGACATTTGGAAAACAAAATGTTTTTTCAAAATTATGCCAATTAGTATCTAGAAAGAATAATCTGGAGGAGGAAAAATACCTACCCTAGATCATTAAGGAATATGGAATACACTTCCTCACCGTGAAGCATTTATGATGATGTTTGCAGGCAGACCAGTTTCTGTATTTATTTTATATCTTTTATAAGAAAGAAAATACTGGTTGCATCTAATTGCTGGGTCTGAAGTGAAAACTTGAGCAAAACCCAAAATCATACCACCCTTCATCCACTTGGTGGCAGAAGCATACAGCTTTTCTCCCTTTTTAAAAAATAACAGGAATATGCTGGTATCAGAATTCACTGTGTCCTCCATCTGGATTACTAGATTTTGATGTCCAGCTCAGTATCCATATAGCTGATTTAGGAGTGTGAGTCTATGACATGCAGTTGAAATATCAAGGAACCAACTCATATAAGCTGCTTGTATATGCTTACTTTGTCTTAAGAGTTGTATTTTTCCTATTTATAAATTAAGGGTTTCCCCTCACTTTGTTTATCCCGTATCAGTAATCTATTTATAAGAAATACCAGGAAAAAGTAATGAAAAGTTACCCTTTGCAGAGTAGAAAATGGCCAATAATTTCTCAGCTCCTGTTGTAAACTGTTGCATTTTAAGCAGATTGTGCTAATTGTAACTGTGCTTTTACTCAATAGTTACCATTATCAGATCATCTTTATGTTTATGGGAACCATGTAGATATATTTCCCTCAAGCACAGTGACTTGAGTTGAATGATATTCATGACAGTGCTTGTGCTATGACCTGTAAACATTGTACAAATGTACTTGGTATTTCGTTTGAAATGAAGACTCAAATAGATAATGGAACAGAAATCCTTCCTGTAAATACCTATATTCAAGACTCCATGTATACAAACATTCCTTTTGAGTCCTGATTGTGAAGAGTGTCTTGATTGGCTAGAGACCATTGCCTTTCACTGACAGTGGTTAAATGTGCTATAGTAAAGAACACAGTGTGTGAAGTATTTGGTGTACTACAGTACCATAGTTCTTTTGGTCTGTTAAGTAAGTTACAATTTGTGATGAAATGAAATTCATACTTAAACATTTCTTTGAATACAACTTGATTTTTCTTGTAAAACTTTAAAAGAAAACTTGAAAAATTTTATATATTTGGATTTTGTAGATTTTTTTTATTTTATTGCAACAAGAAGTACCAAATCATTAAATAAAGTACACTGTGGTCATTTTACTGACACTATGGAGTCTTTTTACCACAATGTTGGCCCAGCCCAAAGCTGGTTGGTTCATTTCACCTGGTACGAGTTAGCCAATAATCACACAAAGGTGGATGGGAACATATAAAAATGTTTATTTCTGTGCAGAAGTAGAGAAATCAGCTCTGGGGTTAAAGTCTCAAAACAAGCACTCGCTGTGTCCCCTCACATTTATTTATACATAATCGATTGCATCAGCAGTTTTGATTGCGTGAATATATTTACCTCACCACACACTTTAACTCTTGGCAGGCAGATTTTCCTAGCTCCTAACGAGGGCAACTAGGTAACTTTTTTCTTTCTAGGAACTTCCAACCACCTCTTGTGGTACCATGACAATGCCTCATTTTAGTTAAATATGCAATAATAAATACAGTATATGGACCTGTATATGAGTGCAATATTTACAACAATGTGCATATTGTATTTTGATCTTTAGGTCACATCCACACTAGGGGAGTCCTCATAACTTTGTTCTCTTTGGGGCACATGAGACTCTTCCAAGCAAAGTTCTGGCTGCACCTGGCGCTCATTTTTTATTGGCTTAGGGACACATTTTCTGCCAAAGGAATTCTTCAAAATAAAGGTGATGAAATGCATCTTTCCCATTGTTACAATCTGTGAAAGAATATCTGGATAAGAAAGTATGGCAGACTTAATTACACCCTGAAATACTATTTGGTAATTCCACTTTTAAGCTGTAACATTCCAATAACATACATTTTACTGCTATTTTGTTGGCGAGATACATTGTTCTTTGAGGTGTCAGTCTGCCCAAACTGTGCTTACACTTATACCATAGACACGGCAGTGACTAAACTAATAAATGATGCTGCCTGTTCTTGTGTCCATGACCAAATAACAAAGTAATGTTCTTATATGGTTTGCAACAGGTTTAGTCTAACCCTGCTGTCCATGTGCCACATGGAAAAAAAGATGAAGGTTCTTATAAAAGCCTCTGTGCTATTAGTTCTTTTTGTTCTTATTATTTAGAAATTCAGAATACAAAGCAAATGCAGATTACAACATTCAGTGTTCAACATTCAGTGTGAGAGAGGCTTTACAGTCTCTGTCACACATTCACTCAGACCCCACTCAAAATATACCTGGCCAGGCTAGAATCAAAGTGGGAAGCATGGTACTTTGTTCTGTGTGATGGCTCTGATATATTACATTTCCCATCACTTTTATAAGTTCTGGCAAGGTTTAGATAGTCATAATTTCCACTAAAGTATCATTGTTCTATCCATTAAAGCACTGAAGGAGCAATGTCTTCCAGAAGATATGGTGCAACTCTTTCAAACTTTTATCCACCCAAAAAAAAACTTCTTCTGGGACACAGAGACAATTGGAAAAAGCTTTTAAAGCAGCCATTTGAAGTTTTCAGAAAATGTGACTTTTTAATGTCTTTACATTTAGAAGTGACATCTCACTAATGCTAAAGTGTCTTTTGGAGGCTCGAGTCCTAGTATTTAATACTACTGAAAACATATAAATTCTATATATTATTGTTTCTCTTTATTTATTTCATTTATCGTCTATCTTGTTTCAAGTGACTCTTGCTTGCTTCCATTTGATAGTTTTATCTATATGGTCTTTTTCTTCAATGAATATGGTATTCAAGAAAAAAAACCACTAAGAACAATAGAAAGCACAAAGTAATTTAATTACTAATTTAATATGTAGGAGATATTTTCTAGTTGTTACTTCAATTTTATTCAATAGATATTTTACATCACATGATATAGAACTAAAGAAAACAATATGAAATAATGCAATTAAAATATAGTTGTAAATAAAACAAAAAATAAAACAACATTTCAGTGTTACTATCATTTAAGTGATTTAAAAGTGTTACTCAGAAAAAAATATCCAGCAGTAACCATAACCCTGATCTCAAGATATTTGTCAGTTTCCTAGTTCACTCCTGGAAGTGCCTTACAAATACTTTACTTTTTAATAATCCAAATATTGACTAATCATCATGAAGGAAAATAAACAACAAATGAAATTAAAAATAACTTAATGTAAAGCCATACATTTTGCAATAACATAACGTTCAAAAAGCTATTAATTTCAATGAACAGAAACTGTTTTCCTAAATGTAAGTATTGGTCTCTTCTTTACCTGTTGGATTTCTGCTCTATCTTTTTAACACTTTGCACAAATCATTACAGTAGTGACTATTTCCTGGGTACAGTTGCCATGATAATTATCAAAAGATCACAATACCAATTTGCTTTGTACAATTTCCTTTTAATGTCTTAAAGGGCAATTAAACACATTAAAAAAATATTTAAAAAGGGCTATGTGATAGCCTAAAAGTGAGGACCTTCTTCTGCCACCTGGAAGGTTGAGAGTTCAATTCTAGGCAGTGACAGATGTTTCTCTATCAGGGCTCAAAGAGAAAATATATGCTGCATACTCCATGTAAGGCATTACAAAGGGCATCTGGGCAATAAATGCTCAGCTTGATTCAGTTGCCTTAACCCTACGCCAAACCAAGGGATTGCAGAGTCCAGGTATATCGTGAATTAAAATGATAAGTCAACCCAAACTTACTTCTAAGTACAATCCAATTAATCCAATTTAAGTACTTTTCATAAAAAAATTAATATAAGCTTGATTTGATAGAGAAATCAAAGACAACCTCTACTACATTGGAGAATGCATGGAACAGAAAAGAAATCCAAATTTTAAGAAAAATATCAAATTTAGTATGAAACAGTTAAAGCTTACATACTAGAAATAAGCTATAAATTTCATACATTTTCAAAAATCCTAAAAAATAAATTTTATATCTTATTCCAAATCAGGATTATGTTTTTTAAACTATAGTTTTATGTTTGTAAAAAAACAGTTGTACCTGTATTAAAAGATTTACAGGTAATCCATAGCTTGCAATAATTCTTTTAGTGAATGTTCAAAGTTATAGAAGCACATAAAAAGTAACATGACCATTTTTCACACTTATGACCATAGTCATGTAATCAAAATTTGGTTGCATAGCAACTGGCATGAAATTTATGAAAATTGCAGTGCCCTGGAATCATGTGATCACTATTGTAACCTTTCCAGCCAGGTTCCAACAAGGAAAGTCAACGGGATCATGTGATTTACTTAACAACTGCAGTGATTGAGTTAACAAATCTGGCAAAAAGATCATAAAATAGAGCAAAACTCACTTAATAACTCCCTTGATTAGCAATGGAAATTTTGAGCACAATTGTTGTAAGTCAAGGACTACTTGTACTTTCCTGAGTCATACATGTAACGATGGTTTTTAAAGCCTACCTTTTAATAAAATTATACATTTGTACAGGAAATAAAAAAGTATTATAACAATTCATAAATAATACATTACATTAAAATATCATTCAAAAATTCTTCACAATGATTTGCCAAAGTTATTCATTGTCTTGTTTCTCTGTTGCAACTCGTTCCATTAAAGCTCTCCGTACATTTCCTGGTATTTTCTGATGCTTATCTATTAAACACCGTAGTGCATTCTTCATCTGTGATGAGAACAAGGGGTAAGAAATAAAAATAATCCATTATGATTCCATCGTCCAATGGTAAATTACATTTAAAATCAAAAGCAATAATGAATTATTTTCAAACTACAGTATAATATTAACCAGACATTCAATAATTTAACCCTGAAATTACCAAATCCACATGAATTCAAAATATACAGAACTCTGTGTATGAAAATTAGTTTTCATCCTACAACCAATTCTTTAAGCACTAGACTTGACTTGACTTGACTAGACTAGACTAGACTAGACTAGACTAGACTAGACTAGACTAGAATAGACTAGACTAGACTAGACTAGACTAGAATAGAATAGAATAGAATAGAATAGAATAGAATAGAATAGAATA